ACATTTATACCAGATACAAAGGGAAGTAGGAACAGGAAGCACTTGGGGGAGTAGTAGAAGAGAACAGAGCATTAACAGCAGGATACAATTGGGACACTCTGGATTAAACTCATCACTGCATCTGATTGGGAAATATCCAAATGGCAATTGTGATGGTTGCCAACAACCAGAGACAATACAGCATGTATTTTTTAGCTGCCCGGAATATACAAGGCAAAGACTCTTTCTGAAAACTGCACTGGAACAACTCAACATCAAGGACATGGATTTCAAATCAATATATGAAAGTAAATCAAGAAATGAAGCAAACAAGCTGATCTTCAAATTCCTCAAAAGCACTGGTTTGAGGACAAGGATTTAATATGAACATTTAATAACTCAACAGTAGGTGGCGATATATGCTCCAAGTGGAAGCGATTCACCATTAAAGAGAAGAAGAAGAAGAAGAGAATCAGAGCTATTATACCAGGCAAGGTGTGTTTTCTGACAACAGCACATGTGACGCTTTACCATACTGGGAGACGTGAAGATGTAACGGTTTCGTCTTTTCAAAACGTGACAGCTACACGGTATTGTTAACCCATGTTAACCAGTGGAGAAATACCCGGAAGTGCCAAGCAAATGGTCTACCGCGCCCAGAGCCATATAATCCCCTGTGTCCAGGAAGTCTGCCAAAAAGCTACTGTGGTCTTCCTGGTAGCTCCCAGAGCTGATGGTGGTGAGGAACTGCCCCACAGATATGATTCTCAGTGCATGATGGAATTCCACTGGAGTTGGGACAGGATTTTTAGACCTCACACAGCTGAATGTATTTTCAAGGCAGTCTTGTGTGAACCTTGACGTTAACACAAACCTGTGTCCTTGTGTAAGCATCTCCTCTTGTATGGCCAAAATTGATGTTGTTGCCATTATCACCCCTGTTTGAACAGGCTTCCAAGCTCCCTTTTGACCTATCTTTATCCCACGAAACAGATGGACGATGTTCTGGAGGAAGGTGATGGCCTTTTGGTACTCCTCCATCTTGAGCCTGCTCAGGGCTGTAATTGGATGGCGAGATGACATCAGATCAAACCAACGATCAACCTGCTCCAGGAACCACGCTGTCGTCAGGTATGACAGAGGGCGGTTTTCTTGCTGCACCATGTATTTCAGCCCAGCACTTGTAGCCTTACTGAACACATTTAGAGCAAGACCAACCTTCATCTTATCAAAGTGACTTGGCTCGATGGCTGCAGCTGAAAGATGGGGAGCTATTTTTAAGGCCATCCCTTCCTGAAAGGTCAATAAGTCCTTAATGGGGACCACAGAAACCGCGTTAGAGGGGAGGTTCTCTCTGTTAACAACATCCTCAGGAATTATGAAGACCTGCCCAGGGACAAGGGCACTTTTTAAATGTTTTACCAGATGTGGGACATCGGGCATGAAATAGAGCTGCCTGTCTGGTTTTGCTGGATGTGGCACCGATGTTTTATTTTGGTCCACCCCAAAGGATTTCCACATGGCTCGGTTAGGGCTACCCATGTCGGTGGTGACATCAAGCACATGTAGCCCTATGGATGCTGCCCTCTGTATTATATCAATAATGATTGGCCTGTACTCTGCTCCATTGGTTTCGTAATGTCGTAATGATATGCCACTACTTGCTTCCACCGTGTTGTGTTTCCAGCCAACATAAACACACAAGCATGTGTTGCCACCCCTGTGTGACCTGGTAAAGTCACATCACCGTACAGTTTGCCTGTAATCATGTCTAACTCCACACTTGGTGTGATTGCCATTTCATCCAAGGTCAACACACACTCCCTTTCAAGGTCTGTCAATTTATCTGCCTTCAATTTTAGGAAATCAAAGACCTCTGTCAACACACCAGGCTCAAACGTAACACATTGCATCCTTCTTTGCAGTGTCCTTATTCCTGGAAGGGGAATCTTCAATTCCTGCAGAGTTTTGTAACCCGTTGGTCCGCTCGCAAAGCGAATTTTTAAAGCCTTCTTAATTGTCTCATTGCTCCATTTCATCCCCTTTGTGGTGAGTCTGCCTAATGCCTTCAGTTGGTCTTTTGAAAACGTTTTCTTATATTTCTTGTCCCTAATTTTCATTGTTTTCTTGAGAGCTGCATTTTCCTTCCTGATTTTTCTTAGTGCAGCCTTTGCTTTTTTGGTGATTCCTTCTTGGCTCTTTAATTTTCTCTTTAATTGTTGTAATAGATCTGTTTGAATGGCTGCTGGTTCCCTCGTATGCTGACTGGCTGCTGGTTCCCTCGTATGCTGACTGGCTGCTGGCAAAGTGGGTGGTGTCCGCCCTCCCTGTCTCTCCTCACTAGCCATGTCCTCTCTTTCTTCACCCTCACTTTCCTTTCTCTCAGTCTCCTCATCCCTTCTTCCCTCAATCTTTGAGACTAATGTAAGTAGAAGACATGGCACTGTAAATGTTCGAACATTTAAAATATTATACCACTTAAAAATAAGAAATATTACTTTTGTTACTAAGAGTTCATACTTATTATACCTGTGTCACCTTTCACACTATAGCTGTGATCATGAGCTATGGGCTTTGTAGATACAGGTCCCGGGGTGAATCGTGGTGCAGGGGCCCTTCTCTTTTTGACCACAGGGCGATGCACGAAGATGGTGGGTATAGCCTCTGCTCTCAGCCTAGTCTTGCCCTTTTTTGTCTTGACAAACTGGTCTGCATCAAAATGTGCCTGCGGAGTGACTTGAGGTTACTTCACACACAGAACAACTGTGTCTGAATCTTGTCTGCCCACATACATATTCCATAGTGGTTGAATACACAGTATTAGGAAACACTTTATACTTACTGGACATGTTATACTCATTACATACTGTATATACAATATGACCAAGAATGTGAGACAACTTTATAGAAATTCATATCACATCTGTTACTGATGCCATTTGTCATACTTTATTAAATTCACAAATAATAAAGTTCCATAACTTCAGTTGGGAACAAAGACCACACCTTATCTCCCCAAGGCAATTTCCCATCCAATAGGTGTGCTATATAGGTGTGTATAACCCTTTCTCCTGTCTGTTTATCCCTCTTTCAGCACAAGAACCAGAGGGGGATTCAATGGAGCCTGAATACCTGCACTGAGACCCTCACCCTGCACCCTGAGTCTCAACTCTGTGTTTTTCAAGCCTTTCCCTGTTTTTTTGTATTAAACAAAACATTAAGCTTTCCCAATGGTGTGGTTTTCGTTTTGTGAAAAAGTGCAAATGCAGTGTTTGTATATAATTACCTCACATATTTTTTTGCTGTTGGTCGTGAAATTGCTCCTGCTGACTTGAGCCAGCCATTTTTTCCTCCGCTCTGTGTCAGTGGGGAAGCCGTACATTCGTACTCCTTTCTCGGAGCGATTTGAGCATCCCCAGGCAGCACAGCAAACCATGGTGGCGACTAGGAGGCAGCACAGCAAACCATGGTGGCGACTAGGAGGCAGCACAGCAAACCATGGTGGCGACTGGGAGGCAGCACAGCAAACCAGGACAACACGGAGGAAAAGGCACAGACAAACTGCATGATATGCTTTTCAATGTTTATTGAATTCCATGTATTTGCAATGGATGTTCCTAAAACAACACATTTAACATCATCATCATCATGCTGCTGCTGCTAGTCCTTTGATAGTCAGCTGTCGGTCTCCTGTCCTTTCTGAAAGCCATAAAGATGACATTAGTCATTTAGATAACTTGTGTCCTCAATTACCATGGTTACTGAAACTACCATGAATTTAAGAAAATGGTAGACATTAATCTAATCTGAATTTTAAAGCATTACTTTAGATCCCCTCCCTCTAAATGTATCAATAAACATTAGAAAGTGATGCTCCTGACTACCATACAAGTTTAAGAAGATAATATTGGTTTTAAAGAATTCAAAGCTATAAATAAACAGCAACAGGCTCTTTAACCAAGGCACTGTTAGCCTAACATGTAAACTAGTTGTTCACACTAATCCTAATATTATCACTTAATATTAGCAAATTCTATTTTATTTTTTAAAACATATTGATGTAAATACATACACATATCGATTTGTTGTATAAATATTGCAAATCAAAACCTTTATTCACTAATAATTACCAAAAATCGTAGTTCTATCTCCTGTTATCAATGCGTTCACATTGCCCGCCATGAACTTCTGGGAACGATCCTCGTCTACATGAACCACGTGACGATAACCGTTTTTGGACTTCCGTTGTCATAACTCTTCTATTATACGGCTCTGACCGCGCCTATTGGTCGGTTTTTATTGTAAAAATTAGATGTTTTTAATTTATTTTGTAATCCTCGCACTCGATTTCGCCGATTTTCTTGTGGCTCTAGCTGGTCGAGACCTCTTTCAGCAGAAACAAAGGCTACGATGTTAATCCATTTGTGTTGTTGTGGAAATACCGGACGTGACGTTGTGTGATCTCTTAGCAACTGAACTCCGTGAAAAATAAACACCACTAAGGTTCAAGGTTCAAGGGTCAAGGGTTTTTGTTATCAGATGCTAGCTACAGTAAATGGGGGACCCTGATGTAAACAAGACGAAAGTCTTTCTCTGGTCTGCATCCCCTTAACAATTGTATGTTTTGAGCTGTACTGTACTGTACCCAATATACAAGCTGTTAATACACTTTTCAATCAATCAATCAACAGTGTAATTTTGGCATTTCAAATCTTAGATCCCGAGCTCCTCCAACAGTGCAACATAATATAAATAGGACATAATAAGAAAATAAATAAAGATAAATAAAAAATAGTGCAAAATGCACCACTTTTGGTTCAAATTATGAAACCAGTAGATTCATTCATTTATTTATTTATTTGTGTTACCCCAGCTACATCGATGTTAATCCATTTATGTGGTTGTGGAATTACTGTACGTTACGTTGTGCGGTCGCGTAGTAAGTGAACACCATGCTACCGATTACTATCCGATGACCATGAACGCACCGGACATCCGCTACAACCTCCTCTCTGTCTGACTTCGCCAAGCAGGTAATGTGCTGCACCGCATGCCTCCAATATTTGTAATGTTTATTGCAAGTAAATCAGTTGTAGTTACATATCTTTTTAAAGCACGAGCTAGCTAAACACATATTAGCTTTACTTGACCGGAGATATAGTGCAGTGATGAGTCCTATAACCCGGAAGTGAGTTCGCATTTTACAACTATTAGTTCCCTCGTCTCAGAGTCAATGGGATTTCTCCATAGGATTTTGGAAAATAGCTCGAAATAAGATCTGTGGAAAACGAACCTGCTTGATAAATGCACGTTTTGTTCAGCCGGATAATCTCCACATATCTACCCTACTTTTATACTTTTCGAATCATAAATCTAATGGCCAGACGCAAAATGCTAACGTTATGCTATAAACGAACTACAGACCATGGATGTATAATAAGAACCTTTAGAATAATTACCTTTTTAGAAGTACACCAAAACATAACTGCTAACAATGTAAATGCTGTGTTGGAAAAAAAGTGAATGTAAGAAAATGTTGAGTTAAATACTTTTGGCACTGTATATACAAATCTTGGAAAAATGCCTATTGTGGCTGTCATACTTGCATACAGTGGCAACTAATAGTATTGTGAAGAAATGTCATGACAACCATCTTCAGACTGTTGTGGTCCTATTTAGGACAAAACGTTCAGAGCTGTCCTTGTTCCAGTCCGCCCCTGATTGATTAGTGCTTTAACTCGTAAATTACCCCAATGTTAAAGCTTGTTGATGATATGTGAGATTGTAAATTGTCATGCATTCTAAAGGGTTCACTGTATTTTTTTCCTTCAACAGATACCAAACCAAATAAATATCAAACAGCACTTTTAAGAGCCTTTTTCAATTTCTTCTCTTCTCCCTCCTCAGAGCTATATTCCCTACATTTCTTCCTGTCTTCTCCCATTTTTACCATCTTCATCTCTGTCTCTTTACCACTTTCTCTTTTGTATTTATATGCACGCAAACACACACACACACACACACACACACACACACACACACACACACACACACACACACACACACACACACACACACACCTGTCCTTTGTGTGTTTTGATTTCTAGTTCCTGAAATGGCTGCTAAACAAGGTGAGGAACAGCTAAAAGACGCCATTTTCCTTGCCGATTTACTTTGTAAACAACTGAAGGTACATTTTTTTATTTCAATTGTACTGATTAGGTTGATTGATTATGTGCTTGTAATTTTGTAATGCTTGTAAGTGAATAGGAATACACTGGGAATGAAAAGCAGCTTGTTGTGGTATGCATGACTACTTTATTGAAGGAGGAAGAAGACAGGGCCAGAGCAGCATCTAGCTGGTGCAGAATCCGCTGGGTAGGCAAAGATGTTCAGGGGCGTCCTCTAAAAAGGAGGGACAGAAGTGGGGCAACCTGCCGACGTACTAAAGGTTTGTGCATGTATACAGGTATTCATGATTAACATATCATTTTTGTTTTGATTGTTCGCAACATGATTGGTACAGCATGTTTCAGCTTAGAGAGGTATTGAACAAATATCTGTTATTCCGTCGTACGTATAAAAATAGGCCATTGTAATAAATAGTTAGAGTTGGTTAGAACTGTTAGAACTATTTTAATTTATAACATTTGCCTGCGATTGCCTCCTGTTCTCTGTAATTATTATCTGTTATCAATATATCTATTATTATAATTATTATTTTTCAGCCAGAACTGTTGCCATTAACAGTCCAGTGACTGTGGAACCAGCTGGAGCAACCTCTGCAGTACCCCCTCAGCTTTTTGGTAGGATGACATTTACTATCATTGAAAGTTAGGAAATGTGTCAACATAACATCAAACGAATACGTGATGCAATATGAGTACGCTGTTGTGATGCTGAACATTTTCTTTTTTGTTTGTTTCCAGAAGATGAGATTCAGCAATTGCAGGAGCTTTTGGTTGATCAACCATCAACCTCTTCCTCATGGTGCCTGCGCCAAAGTGCTGCCCAATTGGAGTGGCAAAAGGCAAGGTCCCATCACTTGGACAGCTTGCTGTCTTCAACTATGGTACCGGAAAGGAGATGCTCACATTGCTCCGCTCCTGTGGTCCTTCGCTGCAGAGAATGCATGCCCCTTGAATGGTTGTGTCATGCAGTGTGAGAAAAAGTTTTTAGAGAGTACTTGTCCATGGACAAGTGAGTTTGGCAATTTACTTGTCCGAATACATTTTTCACTTGTCCAGAATGGACAAAAATTGGGGCCACTGGAATCTTCTTCTTCGTCATCGTATTTTACATTTTCCCACGGTTTTTACGACACCGCTAACGTAAGTGAGCGGTAAGTTTTTACTGCATCACACATAGGGTTGGGTATCGTTTGGATTTTAACGATTCCGGTTCTGCTTTTCGATTCCGGTTATTTTCGGTTCTCGATTGCGGTTCTTTGAGAGGGTCAAACTGGGAGAAAAATATATTTATGAAAACATTAAGTCAAATCTGTATTCCTATTTACAAATCACTTCATACTGTTGAATTTCTTACGGTTATTGAATACAAATTATATAAAAATAATCTCTGCATTGTTTAGTTAGTTCTAAGTGGTGCAGTTTGAGAATGTACAATTGGCCCAGTCTCCTCTGATGTTACACTGCAACCTGCCTGTGAGACAGAGTCCAACCACACAGGACATAACCTAATAATAATAATACATTATATTTATAGCCTATAGGCCTAGCACTTTTCTACAACTCAAAGACGCTTGCACGCTTACACATGTCCTGCAATACACATGCTGCAGCTGCCCAGCTGCTCACTGTTTGTAAAAGTAAATAAATAGTATTTTCATTTCAATAATGTACTTTCTATACCCTGCTTCATAAACAATACTGACATCCCTGTGCTCCTCCGAGTCTGGGGGTCCGGGGATGTGAGGACAGCGCGAGGACACAGACAGGGAGGCTGCTTTACTTCATAAAGGAAATGGCGGTCCATATTAACAACACAGGAGCTAAAACGCTTAATAACCTTCATTACGTGTTAGAGAAAGAACATAAGAAAGTTTGACAAAGATGAGGCTGTTAAACGGGCAGCGGATCCGCTGTGTGTAGAAAGAGAGACAGACAGACGCTGAGCTGCACCGTGCAGCGATCAGCTGATACAGAGCATAGAGAGAGAGAGAGCTGCAGTCCGCGGGGCTCGGCCTCGCCTCCTGTCCTCACAACTCTCATTAATCCCGGTACCGGACAATTGTTATTTGTTCCTACTCGGAACCGAGTTTTGCTTCCCAACCCTGCCACTGTGCTACACGTCCCGTCCCGTCCCGCCCCGCCGCGCCCCGCCCCGTCTAACTGTACAGAAAGCGTTGAGATGCATTTCCTTAGGAATCAACAAGCAGAACCGAAACTATTTCTAAACGGACAATGGCGGACACGGACAATTTGCGAATGAGTTCTGCCTTTTGTAAACTGAATGTATCAATAAATCGGGGCGAAAAACGTCACTTGTCCGCCGGACAAGTCAATTGAAAGATCTACTTGTCCGATATTGTAAATAACACGTCCCGGACGGTGGGACGTGTACTTTTTTGCACACTGTCATGACTGTGACATTTCTAAACACAGCATACACACCCTTCATAACAGGGAGTCCTTCAATGAAGGATATTTCAAATGTATTCCCCCAACAATGTCACTAGTCAAGACAAATTACATGTTCACTTTGAGACACCAAGGTATTTCACTTAACACAATTTAGCCCAAAGTGGTTATTTTATAACTTTCCTAATGTGCTGGTAGTTTAAGACATATTTTTAACCTCTCTTCACAGATCGTCTTCTGCCCACTGGTAGGCATTCACACTCGTGTAACCCTGAATGTGTTACAGAGTCTATAGGCAGGCCTGTCATTTTCGTCTGCATTAATGGTATGATTTTAACTGTTCTTTTTGTCACCCTAATACAGGTAATGAATGCGATTGTTTTTACTAAACTGTGTTTGTTATTAGGGCGTTATGATTTGCATCTCCCCAAGAGGGTGTGCAACACATGCCATTACGAATGGACACCTGATTGGGGAGACCTCATTAGAAGCGGTTACTGGCCAGCTTCTGTGAACGGAGACACGTTATATTCCACGGATGTCTTCAAATCTTTTGAGGACCTGAAGACTGTGGCACCAGGTTTGTCCAGACAGGCCTTTTTACAGATGCTGGAACGGAGGACACAGCATTATGGGAGGGTAAGATGACTTTCACTAAGTATTGCATAAGTAGAGGGCATTGTGAAAGGATGCATTTTATTTTGTGTAGATGAAATATGTTGATTGGAAATATGTTTATGTCAAAATAACTAAATTGAAAAGCTTACAATGTTACTGAAAGTAGTTTAACTAGTGTTACATTAGAGCTAAAAACCTAGCACTGGTAGATGTAGGACATACTGTAAGATCAAACATATCATAATCCAACTTTTGTTCTTTACTGAAGAACACAATTTGTATGATGAAAAACATTGTGCTCTTCTGTGGGAAAAAATGGGATTCTGTATTGTACTGTATAGAGTCATGGTGCATATGACAAAAGCTGAAATAATGTTCCTTCTCTTCCAGCATCTGCCAATCCTAACCTGACCTTCACTTTTCAGGATATCGTGTGTTAGGGATACTCCTAATAGCCCCCCTCTTGCCACTGTGAAAGTCTTCCTGTTTCCTCGTATTATTCTGACATGTGTAAGGTAACAATTTTGCTTCTCAAACTTCCAGACAGGAAAAATCCATGGAGATGTCTTCCAAAGAAGCTTTCTGGAGTATATGGCCTGCCAGTACGAGTGCCAGAAAATGACATCTGAGGAACTCTTCTCATGCCCAGCTTGTTCTCCCAAAATGTTGGCTGTGTCAGTGGATAGGAAACAGTACCGTTTCCGACTGTCACAGAGGTACATCTTTTTTGTATGTCAATTGAATTTAAGAAGTAGTCTATCAATGATGATAATAATGAGTTGAATATTTATTTTTTAATTTAGGTGAACCACTTTTTAAAGGCCCGTTCATCATGGAAGACTCGGCTGTCACAGACTTTGTTGACAAAGTCAGAACAAATGTAAAATGTGTAAGCACAGCATTTTTTTTCCTATCATTTTTCTAGCCTTTACTTGTTTTGAGAGTGTAACATTAAAATGTCTTTAATTATAGACCCCAGGAAAAGGTACATGTGGTACCAGCCAGTGGTCAGCTGCTCGAGAGACAGCAAGAAGAGCCAGCAGGCTTGATGAAGAGGGGTTAGAGGTGGCTGTATGAAGACATGGAGTGCTACTGAAAGCTCTCAACATCAAAGACAATGCCAGAACTGCGACCTTTGCTGAGCATGCAACCGTTTCTCTCGGTCATGCATGCCAAGGCCCATTCCACAAAGTGTGAGGTCGGCCCACTCTTATATTATTGTGATTGTAAGATTTTTTTTAAATTAATCTATGACATATAATATATGTGTACTTGTTAGATTGTGTGGAGTGGGAGAAATTTGGAGGGTGCTGGTTCGACGGCCGGGGAAGAAGTGGAGATGGTGAACAGCTTTCTGTCACGTTGTGCCATCACAACTAAGTACATGACAAAATCAGGTATGTCCTCTTATCACTAGACCAACAAAATTCTGTCTTGAAGTTATTATCCATCTCTTACTTTACTTTATCTTTGTCTTTGATGTAGTCTGTTTCAACAGAACTAGAGTTGATTTCCAAATACCCAAGTTATATTATCTGCTTGTCAATTTTACTTTTAAAAACAGCTCGCAATGACATGTTGACTGTCCATGCAATGGGATGGAACAGACGGAAGCAGGAAAACCTTCATGTGGTGTTGGCCAAGAGATATGTCAAGGTAATTGGCCATGTAAGCATAGGCATGACAAGATTAGATTTGTAAGGCTAATGTGCAAACCTGTCACAAACTAATAATTGTCCAAGCTGGTAAAGTGTTGGATACTAAGTGTTTGCGCAGGTCTGGAAAAGTTTGAATGATTAATTACTGTTTTCAAGACATGAAAAGTTATGGAAATTTGGGTGAAAATCTTGAAAATACGTCTGTATCTGCAACATCTTTTTTACAACAGACAATCACAATGTTGGAGGGTGAGACTCAAAAAATGAAGGACACCTGCGAAGAGCTTGGATGCCCTGAGGACAAAGTCCAACAATGGGTTAATGATGTTAGAGACTGGGCAACAAACGGTATGCTGTTTCCTAACTTGATAATATAACATTGTTATTTAACGTATAGTATTAACACCAATGTTTTCTTTGTTCTCAAACTGTGTTTCTTGTTATTTACCCAAGACAACACATCAGGCGACAATCAGTCTCTCCAGATTGAGAAGCTATTTCTAGGGCTGTGCCAAAAGAAAGCTTTCCTCTATAGACAGACTGGTAAGTTATTATTATTCAGTTGCAGTCATGTAATTAAAAAATTCCATTGAACATCGTTTCTGTAATGTTTTTTACAATTACGTCATATAGACAGCAATAAGATTCGGCAGTTGCGTCGCAAAAGGTTAAGGCAGGAAAAGACCAAACTCTTAGCGGCAATACGCCAGTACAACACCGGACAGCCTCCTGAAACAGAAATCCAAGAAGAAGAGGTGGAGAGAAGACTGTCTGCTGAACAGCAAACAACAGACAGTCTAATATGGCCATGGGAAGTGCAAAGTGATGGTAAGAGCTTCTCTTGTTTGTGTTTATATAATATGTTTATTTTCTGGCACTAAGCAAGACCTATAACACCAGCTTCCCAGTCAATGGACTATGACCGGTCACTTATCCTACTGGTGCATGTCTTGGTCGGTAATGGTATGCTTGCTGTTCCTCTCTCTTCAGAATCGGTGTCCATTTTGGCCCAAAAAAAAGTCTTCGATGCCTACATGGGCAAAAGGAGACTTGTGGAGGAGAGGGCCATAATTGTAAGGGAGATGAGGCAGCACTGCCTTTATCTGAGAAGTCAGGCTGACAAGATCAGGATGCAGATGCAACATGTGTCATGTGGAGGACATAGTGGTAAATTCCATGATACCATACCCAAATACTACTTAACATCCACAGTGTGTACTAGTAACAAAAATGAGATGCCTTTTCACTATTCTATTCTCTATGTTCTGCCCTAGACATGACTCAAGAAGGGGAGAGATGGATTAGCTAGTCTTCTAAAGAAAATACTTGCTGACGTGGACACACACATCCAGCATCTTTCTTCGGCCTACAGCCTGGCAATCGGACCAAATGCCCCTCAATGGCCTGATGACTCTGTGGAGAACCATGACCAAGACAGTGACATCAGTGATGACGGTGAGGAAGACCCTGATGAGGACATCACACACACCCTACCCCCACCTTGAGGAAAGGACGCTGGAGCACAGCGCCTCTCTCCCCCACCCTACCCCCTCCTTGAGGAAAGGATGCTGGGGTACAGCGCTTATCTCCCCCACCCTACCCTGAAGGACACTAGGGTGTACAGCAGGGGTGGCCAACCAGTTAGAGGTTGAGAGCCAATAATTTCCCTGCGTTACTGCAAAGAGCCACATCATACACATGCTGGGTGTATGTCCCCCCCACCTCTCTCTCTCCTTTCTGTGTGCTCCCTCAGTCTCTTCCTCTGTGTGCCACTCTCTCTCACACATAGAACATGAACATCTAAACATTACAATAATTGACCCACACACTAGGACACACCCTCCATCACAGACACACATACCTCTGCTCAGTCAGAATTCTTGTTAATGTCACACACCATGATATTGACTGAAATGTACTTAACCTCTCCTACCAGTATTAAGACCAGAGGCCAGTTATCGTCAACCAATAACATTGTGTGCACTCTCACACACAACCTCTCACTTCAAATAATGTGAAAAAAAGTTGTTATCTTACTATGCATGTTGCTTCTTTGAACTAAGTGAACATTCTGGAATGAATTGCCTTGAACAATCCTTAAAAATGTGGCTTGTGAGGAATATGTAAACGTTTGTATTTAAAACAAACCCATGACTAAGGTTGGTTTAAACATTGCTATGTATTGTATTTTAGTTAATTCTCCTCACATGATAACTATCTCAACCTTTACCTAACCCTCTGACTGACAGAAGCTCTGCTGACAGAGATGCACTTTCTCTATTTTTTATTTCTTTACCACAATTCACCTATCCGGGAGTCCTTCTGTGTCAGCAACCAGCTTTCCGTGAGCAGGCCCTCTCTCACACTCACACACACACCTAACTACAACTACAAAGTGTTGCCGTTTAGGGCTGAAAACATTATATTGAGTTATTACGGTTTTATCTTAGTTATTATCTTCAGAAGCAGAACTCTCCCTTCACTGTCACATTGCGAGTGCAGTAAAGCCTGCCTCCGGGGCTGCAGGATCTGCATTCTGATTGGCTAAATCACTTCTGTATTGAAAACTCTGTAACGATTGTCCTGGAACTTGTGTGTTGTTTACCCTTTGTGAACTGGGATACATATGCGCAGAAAAACACACAACATTAAAATTCTATATTAATTGAAGTTCACAAACCATGGTTTACGTGTCAACTCACTAATTTATTTGTTGATGTTCACATATCTGTTATCTGATTAAATAAATGCTATTTTAGCCCACTTCCGTCCAACTGGACAGATGTTATCCAATAACCATAGTCCGACAGGTATTCGCCTGGCTTTCTTAAAGTAAAACAGGTACACAAGTTCACAAAATACATTTATTGTCATGTTTCTCACACTAGGAATGTAACATTACAACAGCATTCGTCTACATATAAGAGGCAATGTAAGCTGTGTCCAAGTTCTGACACCCATGTGCAACATCTCAACTGGCTCATATCTTGTCTTATTAATGTTTCTCATAACTAATTGTATTAAAATTAACTCATTTTCCATCAACCAGCTTGTCACAGGAGTCTCAATGTTTGTCACACCCTCTGAATGTACCATTACAACAGCATTCAGCTCAGACCCGGCGCCAGAACAAATCTAAAGGGAGGGCATATGATTTTCATGGGAGGGCACACAACAACACCGTCACGTGCTGCGGGCCTGCGGCACAATATCAAACAGCAAGGCCAACAGCATTGCATAAAGACGCACACTTATCGCAAACATATACAAATAAAGGGCAACATAGCAACCACTTTTAAACATTGTGTGCGTGGCAGCACAGACACTGGTAAATCACGAGCAAGGCACACTGGTTACGGATGGCAGCTTCCTCATCGCTGCACTCGGAGAGAAATAGTAGAGACGGAGACGTTGAACTGTTTAGCCCGCCTTGGGCATGGTTTATGTTTCTATGCACTGCACTCGGACATGCTGTGGAGTGCATCGAGTCACCTCTGAGAGGGAGTTGGTTGACAGTTAAAAAAGCTATAATATCAACGACAGCTGACACGTAATAACGGCTCCGTGCCAGCTGCCCTTACGAAAATGAACTATAGTATTACTATAGTTTACTATAAGAGTTGTATAGTATCCTATAGTAAGTTTGTAGAGTTCTATAGTATTTTTCAGCAGCTATCGTATTACTATAGTCTTTTCTGTAGTGCCATTTTACTAGCTATAGTAGCTGTAGAGGAAACTTCTGTGTAGCATGCCGTGGAGTCACCGACTCAGGAAGGAGACACGGGAAGAGTCGGAGCTTTGATGTCAAACCACTGTGATTTATTTGGAGTTGGTACCAGAGTATTCACATCACAAATCCAAGAGTCAGAGGTTCTGACTCCACGGTAGAGTTGCCACGTCAATTCTGGAGAGCCTCTCTCTTGCCAGCCCATCTAACTGGTTTCGCAGAGAGTAAACAACATATTTGAGAAGATAGCCTAAACAGTGTGGGAACACAGAGCTACTTGCGTCGGACACTTATGACCTCGAAGATTTTACCTTGGAGTCCACAAATACAGAGAAGGAAGTGTCCCCAGTGTACCCACAACACAGACCATCTGTATCCCAGTATTGACCGGTCACAGAATGGGAACAATAACATTATTGGCTAAGCCGCCTGTGTCCTTAAAGAAGGTAAACAGACATCAAGGTTTGTCCTGCATGTTACAAATTGGCGTCTTATGATAATTATTTCCATAACAGTAGCCCTATAATATTTCAATCGTAATACTAGGCTATGTATCTAGATCTTTGTAGTATTCCTATATTATTTTAAATATTATAACTATAGTATAATATATAGTGTTTCTGTAGTTGTTTTTTGAACACACTATCGACCACTCCTATAGTAATATGATATTGTCATAATGAATGCATATTATTACCATAGTGTTTGTAAAAGTATTACACTCCTAGAATTAATGTGTCATTTTTTTTTAACACACTGCTGTGTCAAAGGCAATTCAACACATTCAGTGTCATTTCTGAACTATTTTACACACATGTGTTTACGTAGAAAAATAAAAATGCACATAGTCAACACATTAGTTTTGACTAACACTGGGCTAACATTGGGCACTGTCATTGGGCACTGTCCTGCCCAATCACGGTTGAGTTATTTCAAATGTATCATTTTTCAACTGTCCAACTGTCCATCAAATGTCCCAACTGCCATTTCACCTCTGGCTGCTGTGGAGGATGGATGTCAGCGGAGGAGAGTCTAACTCTAGGTAAGTTACAGAAACAAAACGTTTTTAACAAAGTGAGCAGATATATTGTCATAATGTGAGCAAGCTAGGGGTCTAAATACATATTTTTAAACTTAAATAAATATGTTTTGCCAATGTTGAACAGCTAACTATTGTTTGAGTTTAGCTGCCTGGATGACAATTATTTTCCTTTAAGCCGTTCTTCTTTTTTATTATATTTATTGTATCTTAACTTAATGTAGCTTACACTCTTTTCTGTGACCATCATTCTTCAATCGTCATTATATTGATAGCATTAGCAGCTATATGTTTAATGCTATCTAGCTACTTTGGCTAGGTTTCATTGTTCGGCCAGATGTGGCGGGAAAGTGCGAGTGAGAAGACGTTGATATACAGTCTCTTACAGTGCAAATACGTAACTTACTCGCACTAAAGTTATTAGTAGTACGTGTACACTACAGTTTACCTGTTTCCGACTAAAACATCAGCCACTACTCTATACTTGCAAATATTATATTGTGAAGAAGGGAGATTTCATATCTGCCTCTTGTCGCTAAGGCAATTTGTGTATGTGAGATGCAGCGTCACGCATCTCACATACATAACGTGCCGTTAGGCCTTCCCTTCCAGTTATTTGATTGGTCGGAAGGGAAGGGCCGGCGGGCTTTCCTTCCGACCAATCAAATGGTTGGGAGGGAAGGCCGGCGGGCTTTCCTTGACATGTCCCTGACACAGCGGACTGCGGGTGTAGTATAGAGTGAGTGTAGCGTGCAATACTGTGTTTCACCACACATTAATTTAGAGGAGCGCTGTTTCAGTCTTTGTAAAATACCCACTGACAACAGCGGAGAGATGTTATTTAATACAAATGAAAAATATGAAGAAATACCCAGCCTCCAGGAGAAAACGCCACTGGAGGCTGAGCAGAATATCCCCTGTGCTTCTCTAGAAGTTGTCTTTATGGGTGAAGTTAATTAACTTAAAATTACCATACTGCTTATAATTTATATAAGGTGTGTATTAATGGGTTTAACTAGAAGATGATAGATGATGGCATTTAATTTAATCTGGCATAATATGATTAGTCAACATCAGGATGAATTTGTCTTTTTCTTATAATTACAGGAAGCGGGAATGAGCTGCAGGAATCTGTTAAAGTCCTAGCAAAAAGGAAATTAAAAGAAGAATCTACAGTGTCCAAAGCACAAACCATCTCCTGGAAGTAACACGTGAATTTGGATTTGTCCTGGATAGGATTTTAAAATACAACACAGACTTCAAACAGTTTATAGATGTTGATAGAAGTGAGAACATTAGTAACTTTGACAGATTCCAAGTGCACTTTTCTGAAGCACCGGATCTTCAGCCTGTCCTAAGAGAAGTCTGTCAAACTCAGGTATACATGTATCATGCTTGTTAAATTGTGTTTCAAAAAATCACACAGGCCAGAACTTTACTTTGTGCTGTGCTTGCTCTTATTGTTTTGTTCAGCCAAGAACCAGTTCTTCTGAATGGCCTAACTGATCTACTTAAGAAGAAAATTCCAGAAGTATTTGATGAACTGCAAACTAATGCCATTCTTACCGAGAAGACCAGCCTCAAACTTGTCAAAGTTTGCATCTCTGACTTGGTGGAGAGGCATGGGTTGTAAGTATATGAATGTGAAATGTATTTATATATAGGGGTTGGGACACTTTTTCCCTTAATTTCATTGCCCAACCATTTCTGTTTCGGGCCTGAAATTATTCTTGTACATTTTTTACATTTAAGTTATTCGTATTCATGAACAATGTATTTTATTTTGTTAATAAAGTCCCTATCTTTCAAATTGAAACTGCTCTGCTTGCTAACTTGTATTTGTTGATACCATACTTACTATAGGGATGAATACATCATTATTAAAGCTAATTAACTATAGATTCACTATAAGATCACCATAGCCAACTCTAGGCTATAGTATTACTATAGTAATTTTCTGTAGTAAGTTCCAAAAAACCATAGAAATAATATATAAAGCACTATAGTGATACTACATAAAACTCAATAGTATAGCTATAGTAATTTCCTATAGTGGCCGAAAAACCATAGAAATACTACAGGAAACACTATAGTATAACTGTAACTTCACTATAAGATCACCATAGCCAACTCTATAGTATTACTAAAGTAATTCTCTATAGTGTGTCCCAAAACACCATAGAAATACTATAGCAGTTTTTTGTGGTATTTCTATAGTAATTCTCAATAGTAATACTATAGTGTTTTTTCGTAAGGGTGATCTGCACCAAAGTTATAATTTCCTTATTTGTTTCCTCGCGTATCTGTCTCTCTCTCCACAAACTCTCACATGAAATGTGTTCTTTTGATGCGGCATGCCTTAGCAGTCCTTTATCAGTCTGTAATGCGTGTTTCCAGTCGCAAAAACCTTTGACAGTAAAAGCCGCATCAGATGAAGACGTATTTACTTTAAACTGTCTACAGGGGAAACAAAAGGCTTCGTCTGCTGTTAACGAATCTTCAAGCCATGGTCTGTTGTGTACCATGCAGCGGCAAAAGTGCGCTTCTTTCCTGAAAACAATCTCCCTGGATAACGATCCAACTTCACCTGCTTGGGTTTATTAACCACAAGATCATCGCTAACTAAGCCCCGGGATATGCCGAGGTCAAGCTTGTGACATTAAGGCGTGCTGCTGCAACGGCAGGTGCAGGGTCGCCAGCAGCACCATCGGCTGCAGTTCTTTCATCGCTATTTCGTTTTAACAAATCCTTAGACCTTTTAAGCCAATTTTTGATGTCCATTTTGTAATTCAAACAGAAATGGGAGTCTACAGAATGCACAATAAACAAATCCAGAATAGGCGGCAGAGTGTGACGCTGTGATTGGTCTAAATGGGGACGAATCACAAATCACAACAGACACATGCATTTATTTGACATAGCCTGCGATTTTTTGTTTTGTTCTGACATCACATACATCGTAGCATAAAAGTTCACAGTTTATTTATAATTTAAAAAATACAATATATATATTTTTAATTTTTTATAAATAATAAAACGTGTTTATTGGGGGAGGGCAGGAATGTCAAATGGGAGGGCCTGGCCCTCCCACGGCGCCGGGCATGATTCAGCTACATATAAGAACACATACAAGTGTGTCCAAGTTCTGACACCCTGTGCAACACCTCAACTGGCTCATCAGAATCAGAAATCCTTTATTAGTCCCACAGCGGGGACATTTCCGCTTTTTACAGCTAAAGTGGCATAGCATCTAAACAAAAACGGATGCATACCACAGAA